TCACAAGTTTGCAGAGTTTTCAGGAATGAGTAAGAAGAAACATATGACTAAGATTCGCTTTGACGCCGTTCAGTCCCAGGGGATCTGGCTGTGCACAAGCAACGAATAATAACGAATTACTTCTACCATCACTATCTACATCTACAACTTGGTGGCCGCCATTTTTGTTTTGCTAATAGGAGACTGTGGCGGTCCGTGTGACTCTGGATCTCTCCCGTGTTCCTGTACCTTTAAGAAGCCATGGGGAAAATTCCAAGAGGGGGTTTGGTCAGATTTGTGACCTTTAGTTGCGCACCCCTCCATGTGAAAAGTGGCAAAGTGGATAGCACTTCTGCCTAGCAACACTAGGGTTGTTGGTTCCAATCCCAACCATGACCCTACCTGCCCGGAGCCTGCATGTTCTCCCTGTGCCTGCGTGGATTTCCTTCCACACTCCAAAGACATGCTGGGAGGTTAATTGGCTCTGGACTGAATTGGCCCTTGTATGTGGGTTAGGCTGGCCATACATTATTCTTGAGAGTTTTGGTTTAGATTTACCAAAAAACCATATAATAGGAGGTCAAAACTAACAACACTTTCAATTGTATCCAATTATTGTATACTATTGTATAGTGTATGGCCAGCCTTAGGGACCTTAGATTGTAAGCTCTTCAAGGGTTAGGGATTAATGTGAATGTACAATAAATATACTATATTGCCCCAAGTATTGGGCCCGGTCTTTCCCCACACATGACCTTTAATGGCCCCCTAGTCTTAGTCTGTAGGGTTCAATATTGAGTTGGCCCCGCCCTTCCCACACACATGACCTGTAATGGCCCCCCTCAGTCTTAGTCCGTAGGGTTCAATATTGAGTTGGCCCCGCCCTTAGCAGCTATAACAGCTTCAACTCTTCTGGGAAGGCCGTCCACAAGGTTTAGGAGGGTGTCTATGGGAAGGTTGGACCATTCTTCCAGAAGCACATTTGTCAGGTCAGGCACTGATGTCGGGGGAGGAGGCCTGGCTCGCAGTCTCCGCTCTAATTCATCCCAAAGGTGTTCTATGGGGTTGAGGTCAGGACTCTGTGCAGGACAGTCAAGTTCCTCCACCCCAAACTGGCTCCTCCATGTCTTTATGGACCTTGCTTTGTGCACTGGTGGGCAGTCATGTTGGAACAGGAAGGGGCCATCCTCAAACTCCTCCCACAAAGTTGGGAGCATGAAATTGTCCAAAATGTTGCCTTCACTGGAACTAGGGGGCCAAGCCCAACCCCTGAGGAACAACCCCACACCATAATCCCCCCTCCACCAAACTTTACACTTGGCACAATGCAGTCAGGCAACTACCGTTCTCCTGGCAACCGCCAAACCCAGACACGTCCATCGGATTGCCAGACAGAGAAGTGTGATTGGTCCCTCCAGAGAACACGCCTCCATTGCTCTAGAGTCCAGTGGCGGCGTGCTTTACACCACGGCATCCGACGCTTTGCATTGCACTTGGTGATGGAAGGCTGGATGCAGCTGCTCGGCCATGGAAACCCATTCCATGAAGCTCTCTACGCACTGTTGTTGGGCTCATCTGAAGGCCACACCAAGTTTGGAGGTCTTTAGCTATTGACTCTGCAGACAGTTGGCGACTTCTGCGTACTGTGCGCTTCAGCATGCGCTGACCCCGCCCTGTCATGTGACGTGGCCTACCACTTGGTGGCTGAGTGGCTGTTGTTCCCAGTGGCTTCCACTTTGTTATAATCCCACTAACAGTTGAGCGTGGAATATTTAGTAGCCAGGAAATGTCACGGATGGACTTATTGCCCAGGGGGCCACCTATCACGGGACCACGCTTGGAGTCACTGAGCTCCTGAGAGCGACCCATTCTTTCACCAATGTTTGTAGAAGCCGTCTGCATGCCTAGGGGCTTGATTGTATACACCTGTGTCCATGGAGGGGATTGGAACACCTGAATCACATGATTGGGAGGGGATTGGAACACCTGAATCACATGATATGGAGGGGATTGGAACACCTGAATCACATGATATGGAGGGGATTGGAACACCTGAATCATGGGATTGGGAGGGAATTGGAACACCTGAAGCACATGATTGGGAAGGGATTGGAACACCTGAATCACATGATATGGAGGGGATTAGAACACCTGAATCACATGATATGGAGGTGATTGGAACACCTGAATCACATGATTGGGAGGGGATTGGAACATCTGAATCACATGATTGGGAGGGGATTGGAACACTTGAATCACATGATAAGGAGGGGATTGGGACACCTGAATCACATGATATGGAGGGGATTGGAACACCTGAATCACATGATATGGAGGGGATTGGAACACCTGAATCACATGATTGGGAGGGGATTAAAACACCTGAATCACATGATTGGGAGGGGATTGGAACACCTGAATCACATGATTGGGAGGGGATTGAAACACCTGAATGACATGATATGGTGGGGATTGGAAAACCTGAATCACATAATATGGAGGGGATTGGAACATCTGAATCACATGATTGGGAGGGGATTGGAACACTTGAATCACATGATAAGGAGGGGATTGGGACACCTGAATCACATGATTGGCAGGGGATTGGAACACCTGAATCACATGATATGGAGGGGATTGGAACACCTGAATCACATGATTGGGAGGGGATTAAAACACCTGATCACATGATTGGGAGGGGATTGGAACACCCGAATCACGTGATTGGGAGGGGATTGAAACACCTTAATCACATGATATGGAGGGGATTGGAACACCTGAATCACATGATTGGGAGAGGATTGAAACACCTGAATCACATGATTGGGAGGGGATTGGAACACCTGAATCACATGATTGGGAAGGGATTGGAACACCTGAATCACATGATTGGAAGGGGATTGAAACACCTGAATGACATGATATGGTGGGGATTGGAAAACCTGAATCACATAATATGGAGGGGATTGGAACACCTGAATCACATGATATGGAGGTGATTGTAACACCTGAATCCCATGATATGGATGGGATTGGGACATCTGAATCACATGATTGGGAGGGGATTGGAACACCTGAATCACGTGATTGGGAGGGGATTGGAACACCTGAATCACATGATTGGGAGGGGATTGGAACACCTGAATCACGTGATTGGGAGGGGATTGAAACACCTGAATCATGTGATTGGGAGGGGATTGGAACACCTGAATCACATGATTGGGAGGGGATTGGAACACCTGAATCACGTGATTGGGAGGGGATTGAAACATCTTTAATCGTGATATGGAGGGGATTGGAACACCTGAATGACATGATATGGTGGGGATTGGAACACCTGAATCCCATGATATGGAGGGGATTGGAACACCTGAATCACATGATTGGGAGGGGATTGGAACACCTGAATCACGTGATATGGAGGGGATTGGAACACCTGAATGACATGATATGGTGGGGATTGGAACACCTGAATCACATTATATGGAGGGGATTGGAACACCTGAATCACATGATATGGAGGTGACTGGAACACCTGAATCACATGATATGGAGGGGATTGGAACACCTGAATCACATGATATGGAGGTGACTGGAACACCTAAATCACATGATATGGAGGGGATTGGAACACCTGAATCACATGATATGGAGGGGATTGGAACACCTGAATCATGATATGGAGGGGATTGGAACACCTGAATCACATGATTGGGAGGGCGGGGCCAATACTTGGGGCAATATAGTGTACATGTAAAGCTCTGTGTAGGTTGATGGCGCTATATAAGTACCTGTAATAAATATTTTGGACATGTGACCTCACCTGCGTCCCCCTTCTCCCCTCTCATTCCTGGAGGCCCCGGTGCTCCTCGCTCCCCGTTCATTCCTGATAACAAAATAAAATGTAATGAGACAGAAGAATGAAGACTCGTCCCGATTGTAGGACAGAATGTTCGCTGATCTGTCCCTGTATCAGTGTGTGTCCCGATTGTATGGAATGGACGAGATCTGTACCTGGTATCAGGGTGATGTTGTTGATTCTCAGGCTGAGTTGGATGTTCTGGTCTTTGATGATCTGGATTTCCTCCTTCAGGTCCCTCAGCCTCGGTGTGGCCCCTGGGGGCCCTGCTGTCTGCCATGTAGCGCTTCCCATGGTTAGATTGCCCTCCAGCTCAGAATCCGGGGGGACGTCCTTTTCTCCGGTGACCTTTTCACTGCTGATGGCCTCATGTAGACATTTCACGTTGCAGATCTCGTCTCTGAATGCTGCGAATTCATGGCGGAGGGACATATCTACCAGGGGGGGAGGAGCACAAATATCAGACAACCAATGGGAATTGTAGGGATTATAGAGGTGGGGTGCAGGTCAGGGTTTAGGGGTTTAGGTTGAGTTTAAGGATTGATGAGTGGGGGAGAAGGACTAAGATTAGGGTTAGGTTTAGGGGTTAGGGGATTAGATTGAAGGCTAAGACTTGGGTTGGGTTGGGGGGCGGGGATTAGGGTTTAGAGGTTTACGCTGAGATTAAGGGCTAGGTTTAATGGATGATGAGTAGGGATTAGGGTGAGGACTAAGACTAGGGTTAGAGGTTTACGCTGAGATTAAGGGCTAGGTTTAATGGATGATGAGTAGGGATTAGGGTGAGGACTAAGACTAGGGTTAGAGGTTTACGCTGAGATTAAGGGCTAGGTTTAATGGATGATGAGTAGGGATTAGGGTGAGGACTAAGACTAGGGTTAGAGGTTTACGCTGAGATTAAGGCTAGGTTTAATGGATGATGAGTAGGGATTAGGGTGAGGACTAAGACTAGGGTTAGAGGTTTACGCTGAGATTAAGGGCTAGGTTTAATGGATGATGAGTAGGGATTAGGGTGAGGACTAAGACTAGGGTTAGAGGTTTACGCTGAGATTAAGGGCTAGGTTTAATGGATGATGAGTAGGGATTAGGGTGAGGACTAAGACTAGGGTTAGAGGTTTACGCTGAGATTAAGGGCTAGGTTTAATGGATGATGAGTAGGGATTAGGGTGAGGACTAAGACTAGGGTTTAGAGGTTTACGCTGAGATTAAGGGCTAGGTTTAATGGATGATGAGTAGGGATTAGGGTGAGGACTAAGACTAGGGTTAGAGGTTTACGCTGAGATTAAGGGCTAGGTTTAATGGATGATGAGTAGGGATTAGGGTGAGGACTAAGACTAGGGTTAGAGGTTTACGCTGAGATTAAGGGCTAGGTTTAATGGATGATGAGTAGGGATTAGGTTGAGGACTAAGACTAGGGTTAGGTTTAGAGGTTAGAGCAAGGGTTAGTGTTTAAGGGTTTAGGCTGAGTTTAAGGATTGATGAGTAGGGGTAAGGTTAAGGACTAAGATTAGGGTTGGGGGGGGGGGGGTAGTGTTTATAGGTTTTAGGCTGAGTGTAAGGGCGAGGTGTAAGGATTGATGAGTAAGGGCTAGCTGAGAACTAAGACTAGGATTAGGGTTTAGAGGGTTAGGCTGAGTTTAAGGGCGAGGTGTAAGGCTTGGTGAGTAGGGATAAGGTGGAGGACTAAGTCTAGGGTCGGGTTGAGAGGTTATAGTTAATGTTAAGGCATTTAGATTTAGTTTTAAGAGCTGAGTGGGGTTGAGGACTAAGATTAGTATTAGGTTTAGAGGTTAGGCTGAGGGTTAGTGTTAGGGGATTAGGTGTATTATAGGGGTTATAAATAGGGGTTAGGTTGAGGACTAGGGTTTGGATTAGAGGTTAGACTGAGGACCAGGACTAGGGTTTGGATTAGAGGTTAGGCTGAGGACCAGGACTAGGGTTTGGATTAGAGGTTAGGCTGAGGACTAGGGTTTGGATTAGAGGTTAGGCTGAGGACCAGGATTAGGGTTTGGATTAGAAGTTAGGCTGAGGACCAGGATTAGGGTTTGGATTAGAGGTTAGGCTGAGGACCAGGACTAGGGTTTGGATTAGAGGTTAGGCTGAAGACCAGGATTAGGGTTTGGATTAGAAGTTAGGCTGAGGACTAGGCTAGAGGGGATTAGGGTTTAGAAGCTTGGATTGGAGGTTAGGGTGAGATTTGCAGTTTGGGGTTTAGGTTGAGCTATAGGTTAGGTTTAGGGGTTAATGTATAAAGGTGAGGTTGAGGACCAGGATTAGGGTTTGGATTAGAGGTTAGACTGAGGACCAGGATTAGGGTTTGGATTAGAGGTTAGGCTGAGGACTAGGGTTTGGGTTAGAAGTTAGGCTGAGGACTCTAGGATTAGGGTTTGGATTAGAGGTTAGGCTGAGGACTAGGGTTTGGGTTAGAAGTTAGGCTGAGGACCAGGATTAGGGTTTGGATTAGAGGTTAGACTGAGGACCAGGATTAGGGTTTGGATTAGAGGTTAGGTTGAGGACTAGGGTTTGGGTTAGAAGTTAGGCTGAGGACTAGGACTAGGGTTTGGGTTAGAGTTAGGCTGAGGACCAGGATTAGGGTTTGGATTAGAAGTTAGGCTGATGACCAGGATTAGGGTTTGGATTAGAGGTTAGGCTGAGGGACTAGGACTAGGGTTTGGATTCAAAAGGTTAGGCTGAGGACCAGGATTAGGGTTTGGATTAGAGGTTAGGCTGAGGACTAGGCTAGAGGGGATTAGGGTTTAGGAGGCTTGGATTGGAGGTTAGGGTGAGGATTGCAGTTTGGGGTTTAGGTTGAGCTATAGGTTAGGTTTAGGGGGTTAATGTATAAAGGTGAGGCTGAGGACCAGGACTAGGGTCTGGATTAGAGGTTTAGGCTGAGGACCAGGACTAGGGTCTGGATTAGAGGTTAGGCTGAGGACCAGGACTAGGGTCTGGATTAGAGGTTAGGTGAGGGTTAGTGTTAGGTGTTTAGGCTGGGTGGTGTGTGTGATTGGTTGGAATCCCCAGGTGTGGTGCTAGGCCCCTCCCCCTGTAGGCTGGTCCATACCTCTGAAGGCCAGGAACACCAATCCGCAGGTCAGAAGGAGAAGATAGACAACCACGGTGACCCAAGCAACATCTTCTCTGCATTTCCTTCTTGGCTTGTTATCTGAAGGGGGAGAAGACGTTGCTGAGATGTTTTACGATACAAGTGTCCCCGCCACACGCAGCGCTGGCTGAGCTGAGCTGGTGTCAGGAGGAATAGTGCCCATCATTGGTGTTTCAGTGGGAGGAATAGTGCCCCATCATTGGTGTCAGTGGGGAGGAATATTGGCCCCATCCTTGGTTGTCAGTGGGAGGAATAGTGCCCCATCATTGGTGTCAGTGGAGGATTAGGTGCCCCATCATTGGTGTCAGTGGGAGGAATAGTGCCCCATCAATTGGTTGTCAGTGGGAGTGAAATAGTGCCCCATCATTGGTGTCAGTGGGGAGGAATAGTGCCCCATTCATTGGTGTCAGTGGAAGGAATAGTGACCCCATCATTGGTGTCAGTGGGAGGGAATAGTGCCCCATCAATTGGTATCACTGGGAGGAATATGCCCCATCATTGGTGTCAGTGGGAGGGAATAGTGCCACATCATTGGTGTCAGTGGGAGGAATAGTGCCCCATCATTCGGTATCAGTGGGAGGAATAGTGCCCCATCATTGGTGTCAGTGGGAGGAATCATGTGCCCCCCATCATTGGTGTCAGTGGGAGGAATAGTGCCCCATTCATTACCCCGGTGTCAGGCAGTGGGAGGAATAGTGCCCCATCATTTGGTGTTCAGTGGGAGGAATAGTGTCCCATCATTGGTGTCAGTGGGAGGAATAGTGCCCCATCATTGGGTGTCAGTGGGAGGAATAGTGCCCCATGATTGGTGTCAGTGGGAGAATAGTGCCCCATCATTGGTGTCATGTGGGGGAATAGTGCCCCATCTTTGGTGTCAGTGGGAGGAATAAGTGCCCCATCATGGTGTCAGTGGGAGGAATAGTGCCCCATCAATTGGTGTCTTGTGGGAGGAATAGTGCTCCCCATCATTGGTGTCAGTGGGAGGAATAGTGCCCCATCATTGGTGTCAGTGGGAGGGAATAATGCCCCATCATTGGTGTCAGTGGGAGGAAAAATAGTGCCCCATCACTGGTGTCAGTGGGAGGAATAGTGCCCCATCATTGGTGTCAGTGGGAGGAATAGTGCCCCATCGTTTGGTATCAGTGGGAGGAATAGTGTCCCATCATTGGTGTCAGTAGGGAGGAATAGTGCCCCATCATTGGTGTCAGTGGAGGAACTAGTGCCCCCATCATTGGTATCAGTGGGAGGAATAGCTGTCCCCCATCATTGGTGTCAGTGGGAGGAATAGTGTCCCATCATTGGTGTCAGGTGGGAGGAATAGTGCCCATCATTAGGTGTCAGTGGGAGCGGGGAATAGTGCCCCATCATTGGTGTCAGTGGGAGGAATAGTGCCCCATCATTGGTTCATTGGGAGGAATAGTGCCCCATCTTTGGTGTCAGTGGGAGGAATAGTGCCCCATTCATTGGTATCAAAGTGGGGAGGAATAGTGCCCCATTCATTGGTGTCAGTGGGAGGAATAGTGCCCCATCAGTTGGTGTCAGTGGGGAATAGTGCCACATCATGGTTTGGGTGGGGTGTCAGTGGGAGGAATAGTGCCCCATCTATTGGTGTCAGTGGGTAGGGAATAATGCCCCATCATTGGTGTCAGTTTAGTGCCCATTCATTGGGGAGGAATAGTGCCCCATCATTGGTGTCATGTGGGAGGAATAGTGCTCTCATCATTGGTGTCAGTGGAGGAATAGTGGTCCCCATCATTGGTGTCAGTGGTAGAGGAATAGTGCCCCATCATTGGTGTCAGTGGGAGGATAGTGGCCCCATCATTGCGTGTCAGTGGGAGAATAGTGTGCCCCATCATTGGTGTCAGTGGGAGAGGAATTAGTATTGGAGGAATACTCCTTCATTTGGTGTCAGTGGGAGGAATAGTGCCCCATCATTGGTGTCAGTGGGAGGAATATGCCCCATCATTGGTCAGTTCACTGTGTGGAGGAACTAGTGCCCCATTCATTGGTGTCAGGGTGGGAGGAATAGTGTCCCATCATTGGTGATCAGTGGGAGGAATAGTTGCCCCATCATTGGTGTCAGTGGGAGGATTAGTGCCCCATCATTGGTGTGTCAGTGGGAGGAATAGTGCCCCATCATTGGTGTCTAGTGTTCGGGAGGAATTAGTGCCCCCATCGATTTGGTGTCAGTGGGAGGAACGTAGTGTCCCATCAATTGGTGTCAGTGCGGGAGAAATAGTGCCAACATCATTGGTGTCAGGTGGGAGGAATTGGTGCAGTTGGAGAATAGTGCCCCATCATCAGGGGAGAATTTGTGCCCATGGTGTTCAGTGGGAGGAATAGTTCCCCCAATCATTGGTGTCAGTGGGAGGAATAGCTGCGCCCATCATTGTTGTCAGTTGGAATGTCAGTCATTTGGTGGGGAGGAATAGTGCTCTCATCATTGGTGTCATTGGTGAATAATTGCTAGCTGGGTGTCGAAGTGGGAGGAATAGTGCTCCTCACGCCATTGGTGTCAGTGGGGAGGGAATAGTGCTCGCATCATTGGTGTCAGGTGGGGAGAATAGTGTACCATCATTGGGGTTGATGTCAGTGGGAGGACATAGTGCCTCATCATTGATGTCAGTGGGAGGATTAGCGGACCCATCATTGGTCGTCCAGTGCGGAGGAATTAGTGACACACAGCAGTTGATTATGTCTAGTGGAGGAATAGTACCCCATTTCCATGGTGTCAGTTGGAAGAATAGTACCCCATCATTGGTGTCAGTGGGAGTGAAGTGAATAGGGTGTCCCATCATTGGTATGTCAGTGGGAGGAATAGTACCCATCATTGGTGCTCAGTGGAAGGAATGTGACCATTCTGAATGTTCAGTGGGAGGAATAGTGCCCATCATTGGTGTCAGTGGGAGGAATAGTGCCCATCGTTGTGTCAGTGGTAGATAGTAGTGTGCCATCACATTCGGTAGTCAGTGGGTAGCGTAATATTGCCCCTTCGTTGGTGTCGTAGGAGGAATAGTGCCCATCATGTGGGATGTCAGTGAGTCGGGCAGTATATGTGGCCCCATAGCATTGCGTGTCAGTGGCAGGAATAAGTGCCCCATCGTTGGTGAGCAGTGGGAGGATTAGTGCCTTATCATTGGTGTCAGTGGGAGAATAGTGCCCCATAGTTGGTGTCATAGTTGGGAGGATATAGTGAACAATCATTGGTGTCAGTGGGATGAATAGTGCCTCATATTAGGTGTCAGTGCGTCTAATTAGTGCCAGCATTGGTGTCAGTGGGAGGATAGCTGCCCATCATTGGTGTCAGTGGGAGGAGCCTCCGTGCCTCCACATTGGTGTCAGGGTAACATTAGTGCCCCATCATTTGTGTTCAGTGGGAGCAATAGTGCCCTGACATCTTATCTCTAGTGAGATGGGTAATAGTGCCCATCCATGTAGTGATACGTGACAGATATGGGGCATGTAGTAGTCCTGATCATGGTGTCAGTGGGAGCATCTGGCGCAGAACTGTCAGAATTGGTGTCAGTGGGAGGACTTTGCCCATCATTGCTGCGTCTAAGTGTTCCCCTACAGCGCTGCCAACGAAACTTTAGCCCCCTGCCCAATCCTTACAGGGCACCCCCTCCCGGATGGGTAATTCGCATACCTATGATGGACGATGGTGTGTATGCCTGAAGTGTAATTCTGCAAGCCTCAGCATAATAATCGCTCGTCCTTTTCGATCGAACTTTCATTAGCTGAATCCTTAGTGCACCCCGTAGGATCAGATTTTCCTTTATTTCATCATAGAGGTACAACAGAGGAAATCTGAATCTTCTCACTTTCTTGTTTCTGCCACGGAACGGAAGATATTAGTGTTTATTCTAGATCAGCAGATTATACGCGGCGGTGTGAATTCCCCCGTCCTCGCGGCAGATGCATCGGAGCTATTGAGGAAGGTGAAGAAGCTGAACACTTGTAGGGTGGTGTTCCATGAAGATGCTGTGGGTCGCTTCTCTCCTGAGGAAATCCCGGTAGGACGCACTTTGGCTTTCTGATAAAATTCGGGTACTGTGGGGTTCTTGAAAATGCGTGACCTTGCCTGGCTGTGATGGCGATTGAATCCGAGGAGTACTGTGTCGTTATATATCCACACCAATAATAGGTGGAGGAGAAAGAACCAGCGCGTTGGGTGACTTCTCCCTCAGTACGCACCACAGCTTGCACCGCAAGTAGTGCAAATGCCTCGTTCCCCCACTCTGGGCGTATAAAGAAAGAGACAGAGATGAGCATTAGCTGAGTGTCGCGCGCGCCTGACGCGAAAGGTTACGGCAAGCCGTCTGCTCCTCTTCAGCACAGTGGGAAGGAGAGACATAACTTAATTCTGTCTCCATAAAATCAGAGATAAAACCCCAATCCTGATTCCTGGGACCAATAGACTCCCAACCCAGAACCTGTGTCAGAGACCGGATCGAAATAACCATTTCCCATCCCATAGGTAGCATTAAATTCATTAAAAATATATAAATAAACATTCCGCATCCAGCTCCCCTCCCCCAGCTTAGCGCTCACCCCCTTTATACGTACCATATTGCCGAAGTATTGTCCCCGCGCGCCCTGGGGGGGGGGGGGGGGGGGGTCCCCCATATCATGTGATTCAGGTGTTCCAATTCCCTCCCAATCATTTGATTCAGGTGTTCCAATCCCCTCCCAATCATTTGATTCAGGTGTTCCAATCCCCTCCATATCATGTGATTCAGGTATCCCAATCCCCTCCATATCATGTGATTTCAGTGTTTCAATCCCCTCATATCATGTGATTCAGGTGTTCCAATCCCCTCCATATCATGTGATTTAGGTGCTCAATCCCCTCCATATCAGGTTGTGATTCAGGTGTTCCAATCCCCTACCCAATCATGTGATTAAGGTGTTCCAATCCCCTCCCAATCATGTGATTCAGGTGTTCCAATCCCCTCCAATCATGTGATTCAGGTGTTCCAATCCCCTCCATATCATGTGATTCAGGTGTTCCAATCCCCTCCATATCATGTGATTCAGGTGTTCCAATCCCCTCCATATCATGTGATTCAGGTGCTCCAATCCCCTCCATGCACACAGGTGTATACAATCCATTCCCTAGGCATGCAGACGGCTTCTACAAACATTGGTGAAAGAAGGGGTCGCTCTCAGGAGCTCAGTGAACTCCAAGCGTGGTCCCGTGATAGGTGGCACATGGGCAATAAGTCCATCGTGACATTTCCTGGCTACTAAATATTCCACGCCTCAACTGTTAGTGGGATTATAACAAAGTGGAAGCCACTGGGAACAACAGCCACTCAGGCACCAAGTGGTAGGCCACGTCACATGACAGGGCGGGCGTGGGGTCAGCGCATGCTGAAGCGCCACAGTGCGCAGAAGTCACCAACTGTCTGCAGAGTCAATAGCTAAAGACCTCCAAACTTGGTGTGGCCTTCAGATGAGCCCAACAACAGTGTGTAGAGAGCTTCATGGAATGGGTTTCCAATGGGGCCGAGCAGCTGCATCCAAGCCTTCCATCACCAAGTGCAATGCAAAAGCGTCAGATGCTGTGGTGTAAAGCACGCCGCCACTGGACTCTAGAGCAGAGGAGGCGTGTTCTCTGGAGTGACCAATCACGCTTCTCTGTCTGGCAATCTGATGGACGTGTCTGGGTTTGGCGGTGGCCAGGAGAACAGTACTTGCCTGACTGCATTGTGCCAAGTGTAAAGTTTGGTGGAGGGGGGGGGGGATTTATGGTGTGGGGGTGTTTCTCAGGGGTTGGGCTTGGCCCCTAGTTCCAGTGAAGGGAACTCTTTAAGGTGAACATTTTGGCCAATTTCATGCTCCCGACTTTGTGGGAGGAGTTTGGGGATGGCCCCTTCCCCTGTTCCAACATGACTGCCCACCAGTGCACAAAGCAAGGTCCATAAAGACATGGAGGAGCCAGTTTGGGGTGGAGGAACATGACTGTCCTGCACAGAGTCCTGACCTCAACCCCATAGAACACCTTTGGGATGAATTAGAGCGGAGACTGCGAGCCAGGCCTCCTCCCCCGACATCAGAGCCAGGCCTCCTCCCCCGGACATCAGAGCCAGGCCTCCTCCCCCGACATCAGAGCCAGGCCTCCTCCCCCAACATCAAGTGCCTGACCTGACAAATGTGCTTCTGGAAGAATGGTCCAACCTTCCCATAGACACCCTCCTAAACCTTGTGGACGGCCTTCCCAGAAGAGTTGAAGCTGTTATAGCTGCAAGGGCGGGGCCAACTCAATATTGAACCCTACGGACTAAGACTGGGGGGCCATTAAAGGGTCATGTGTGTGGAAAGGGCGGGCCAACTCAATATTGAACCCTACGGACTAAGACTGGGAGGCCATTAAAGGTCATGTGCGTGGAAAGGGCGGGGGCCAACTCAATACTGAACCCTACGGACTAAGACTGGGGGACCATTAAAGGTCATGTGTGTGGAAAGGCCGGTGGCCCAATACTTTTGGCATTACAATGTACCTAAATTATTGATGTGAATGAGAGCCACAGCTCTCCCGGGTCAATCTCCCTTCATTGGCCTCTGCCGCTGTCAATCACAGGACAGAGCGGGTGTGGGTTTGAGCCACACTCCGTGGGTCCGTGTTCACACAGAGCCCGGCTCGGGAGGGAGATGACACGAGGGCCACCATAGCAAGCAGGAATACTCAGCGGGGGGGAGCCAAGAGCTTGGAGGGGACCCCAAAAGGGGGGGGGGGTCGGGGCTGCTCTTTGCAGGTGCTCACGTTAACCACTTGCCGCCCGCTATCAGTACATGACTGCCATTGGACGGCGCCAGGCACCGCGACCTAAATGTATGTCTCTGTGAACTTCCTGGCTTTCAGGCCTGTGTGCGCCCCCTGCTGACCAGTGCTGTGACCGCATGCGTTTGCAAGCAATGATGTTGGCTGTATACCTGCTGATCAGCTGTGGCCAATCACAGCACAGAGCTCTGTATTTACAAACACACAGAGCAGCGATCTGGCTGTTTCTTCTCCCTGAAATCAGCCTTGAGTTCAGGGAGAAAAGACAGCCAGATTCTGTAAGTAAATCAGCACCCGTGCTGTACACTTGTTGGGCACACAGGTAACCCCTTGGATTGACCTCCTGATCACCCAGCCAGAGTCATTAGTACAGTGTATAGTATCACTGATCACTGTAGTAGTGTCACTAGCGACCTCAGTGACAGTTAGCATCCCTCTCAGCCAGTGTCTGTTAGTGCCAGATTGCCCGCCACGCTATCAGTGTGTTTGGCGCACAGTTAACCCCTTGATTGCACCTTGATGTTAACTTCCAGTTAGTCTCCATAATACTGTGTACAATATTATATCTAATCAGTGTATTAGTGTCACTATTGATGTCAGTGCCAGTTAGTGTCCCTACCAGCTAATGTCAGTTAGCGCCAGATTGCCCACCACACTATCACAGTCCCACTAGAAGTTGCAGATCAGCACCATTATCAGTATAGTGTCTACAGCTGTGTAAATTCCAGTATATATACCATCGTATAACTAGGGGCGTGTCTGCCATGAGGCAAACAAGGCAATTTACAGCCCCCCCCAGGCAGCAGGGACACCGCGGGTGTCAACAGCAGGGCTGCTATCGGTGTGGACCAAGGACTGACCGCAGAGGAGGGTGGAGTGGGGTCCTCTGTCACTGTCCGGGATGTGCAGGGGGGCCAGGAGGTGCCAGGGGAGGAGACCTGCCACCAGAGATTCACAGCTCAGCTACCCCTCCTGGAGAGATCCTGACACCATTGGAGGAACCACTGCTGGTAAGAACTTGGAGGACTTCAACACTCCTGTCATGCTGCCCCCCTTCACACTGCCCCCCAGCTGTCCCTCTGCCCCCCCCCTTGTCACACTGTTCCCCTCCTTTCCTGCTGCACCCCTACTGTCCCACTATCCCCCAACTGTCCCGCTGCCCCCCCACCTGTCCTGCTGCACCCCTCCTGTCCGGCTACCCCCCCAACTGTCCTGCTTCCCCCCTCCTGTCCTGCTACCCCCCACCTGTCCCGTTGAACCCCTCCTGTCCCGATACCCCTCACCTGTCCCGCTGAACCCTTCCTGTCCCGATACCCCTCACCTGTCCCGCTGCACCCCTCCTATCCCGCTATACCCCCAACTGTCCCACTTCCCCCCCACCTGTCATGTTTGCCCCCATTTTCCCACTGCCCCCCACCTGTCCCGCTGCCCCCCTACCTGTCCCACCCCCATCCTATGCTCCCCTGTCACACTGCTCCTCTCCTGTCCCATGCCCACCCTGTCATGCTGTCACTCTCTTGTTCCACTGCATCCCTCCTGTCCTGCTACCCTCCACCTGTCCCGCTCCCCCCCAACCTGTCATGCTGCCCCCTGTTTTCCGCTGCCCCCCACCTGTCCCCTGGCCCCCCTCCTGTCCGGCTACCCCCCACTTTTCCCACCCCCCATCCTATGCTCCCCTGTCACGCTGCCCTCCTCTTGTCCCATGCCCACCCTGTCATGCTTCCACCCTCTTGTCCCGCTACCCCCCAACTGTCCCACTACCCTCCACCTGTCCCGCTGCCCCCCCACCTGTCATGCTGCCCCCTGTTTTCCCACTGCCCCTCTCTTGTCCCATGGCCCCCTTCCTGTCCTGCTGCCCCCCCCCACTTGTCCCACCCCCCCGTCCTATGCCCCTGTCACACTGCCCCTCTCCTATCCCGCTGCCCCCTCTCTTGTCCTATACCCCACCCTGTCATGCTGCCACCCTCTTGTCCCGCTGCTCCCAACCTGTCCTGTCCCCCCCTAACTGTCCCGCTACCCTCCACCTGTCCCGCTGCCTCCCATCTGTCCCATGGCCCCCCTCCTGTCCTGTTGCACCCCCACCTGTGGCCCCCACCCTCCCATCCTATGCCCCTGTCACACTGCCCCTCTCTTGTCCTGCTGCCACCCTCTTGTCCCGCTGCTCCCAACCTGTCCTGTCCCCCCTCACACTGGCCCCCCTTGTCCCGCTGCCCCCCTCCTGTCTTACCCTGAAGGTGTGGATCTTAAATAGAAAGGAGTAGGACAAGTTTAGATGGGAGGGGGGAAGGGGCACAGCGATTTAAGTTTTGCCTAGGGCAGCACAAAACCAAAATACACCGCTGACTATACCATTCACACAAATCAATCAATATACACCGATGGGTATAAATAAATAATAATCCCAAAGACAAGGAGCAGAATACATTTTGGCTGAAATTCATGAAAACATCTGACAACATTGGATGTTTTTATAACAGAAAGCAGAAAATATCCTTTTTTTCAAAATGTTTTCATTTATATGAGAAAAAATAAAAAACCCGAGGTGATCAAATACCAGCAAAAGAAAGATGTATCTGTGTGGAAAAGATGATAAAATGTCATTTGTGTCCATGTTGCATCACCGCGCAATCACCAGCTTTTAAAGTACCGCAGTGCTGTACAGCAAACAAAGGCCCGGTCATGTGCACTTCCCTGATGCCGGTTTCACGTACTAAGCTCATGATGTCCCCGGCTTTAGGGATGAGGAACTTCAAACAGGGAAATAGGACTTGAAATATGAGAGGAAAGCAGAAAATTCGAAAAGGGATCTGAAATACGTGACTTTCCTGACAGGAGCCGCTAAGCACCGTCTCCGGGGCACCGAAACAAAGAAAACTTCGATCTGGATGGCAACAATGTATAAATGTCAGGATACAATCCCTGGTCAGCCAGACTCGAGGTCAATGTTTCCCAATCGGGGTGCCACGGCATCCTGGGGTGCCACAGGAGTCCTCAGGGGTGCCGGGGCAACCAGTCACCAACCCAACAAGCTATTAGGACAGGACAGTGTGAGTACTTCTACAAATGTTTCCCAATCGGGGGGCCGCGGCATCCTGGGGTGCTGTGAAGAGTCCTCAGGGGTGCCAGGGCAACCAGTCACCAACCCAACAAGCTATCAGGACAGGACAGTGTGAGTACTTCTACACCCCCCCCCCCCCAATAAAGGGAGATTGTGGTCAGGTGCAAGACCCAAGTCCGCATCCGGGACCAGGGGCCGACTGACAACTCATGGGGCCCCTGGGCAATAGGGGATCATGGGGCCC